ACCAACATGAACCTGACACAACTCCGGGAGGCAGTAGAAGACAGGAGGGCCTGGAGTGCTCTGGTCCATGGGGTCACGAAGAGTCGGTCCGTTACCGTAAGATTTACTGTTGTTTCATGTTCGACACCTGTGGCCAGTACTGTCGCCAGGTATATCCCAGCATCCTTTAGCTCCACCTGTTGAATGATCAGTGTGCCATTCCTGAAGATGTCTGCTCGCTCCTGATATCCACCGGCCACTTCTTTGTGCCTCAGGCATTCTCTTTCCCACCACTGGTGAGTGACTCCGCTTGATTTGCAACGGTCTATCAGGTAGACGAGGATGGGGACACTCCCATTGGTGGCCATCCGTTCCCATTTGATGCGAATGAATGCCCAGAAGGAGCTCGGTGGCTGAAAGGAAAGGGGCAGCAGAGCCGTCTGGTGGACAACAGCCATTACCTCGCTGTTGGCTCTAGAGTTGGTGAAAGATGCTGCCATGCCTGAAAGTATTTTTGAAAATCAGTATGATGCCATTGTCCATCTGGAGCGCTTAATATTGGCAATGAGGCAAAGATATATTTAATCTCAGCAATGTGGACCCTTTTCTTCATTATGTTCATTTTTTAATTATTCTCATGAAATAATCTTTTGATAAAGTAACATCGACTGGTGTAGTCATGGTGGAAGACTCTTCTGTAGGAAGCTGCCACCAATGTCCAACAGGGGCATTTGAGAGTAGAGCATCTTGTGAATGGCCATGGTTACACTATCGAAACAAATCGAGAGCTACTTAACAGTTTTTGAAGTCAGTTTAATGTCATGTAGTAATCATGTGGTTTTTCAGTCAGTGAGTGTGTCTCTTGACACAATTTTTAATGTGGGGATTGGAGACTGGCTGGAAAAAAATGCTTGATCTTTTCCCTTTCTTTCGCAGTGGGGAGGGGGTCTTGCCTGCAACATTGACTCTCCCAGGAGCTCCTGGGAACATGGGGAGTAAGGCGTAGGAAGGAGCAGTCTGGTTTCAGGAGGAAACCTGACATAGGGTCATGAGAAAGTGGAGTCAGAGGCCTTGATCCACTTCATGTGTTTGCAAATGGGTGAAGGTAAAGCAAAACCAAAGCATGCTGCTTGTATACCACCCCATAGCACTTAAAGCACTCTCTGAGCAGTTTACAAGTTAATTATGCAGGGTAGACTTTGCCCCTCCCCCCCCCAAAGAAGGGTACTCATTTTACCAACCTCAGAAAGATGGAAGGCTGAGTGAACCTTGAGCTGGCTATCTGGGATTGAACCCTGGGTCGTGAGCACAGTTTTGGCTTCAGTACAGCAGTTTAACCACTGCACCACAAGGCTCCACAAGGTAGGAGTGGGTAGAATCCCCTCCGAAAACTCCAGAGGATCCCCGTGGAGATCTGATGTGGGAACCATAGGTTTCCTGTACATTTGCGAACCTTTTTTTATTAACGTCTATGCTCCAGTTGTCCTTTTGTAAACAAAGCCAACTCTATTTTAAACGATCGAATACTCCAGTAACCTCTTGCTTCAAAGACAGACCCCAAAACTAATCTATAAAATGAGAGTGTATGTTAAATGTATCCACGTATGTAATTAATGCATCTATTCAGTATTCTCAGAAGTCACAAATATGGACGGAGATCAAGTTGACGACTGGTCTGCTTTATGCATCTCCGCAGAAAACTAAGAAATTCAATGCCTTTTTGTATTGCTGCTTTTCAGGATACAAAAAAAAAATCTTCACCAGGACATCTTCAAAACATTGCTGTTATGTGTTGGCAAAATCATCTCTGAATTATGAAGGCTGTATGAATGAATGATGTCTAAAATGCCCTATCATTAACAGTTCTGCTCAGCTCTTGCAAACATAAGGCCATGGCTTCCTTTAATGAGTCCATCAGCTATTGACCTAGAGCCAGGATTCTGCAGTGGATAGAGTGATGGACTAGGGCTCAGAAGACCTGGATTTAAATCCCCACTTAGCTGTTGATACTCATCGGGTTGGTGGCACTAATAGAACCACTTCTTAAATGTCTCACATACTTTGAAAGACCTGCTCATTATAAGTCTGATGCAAATTTATGGCATGTCACAAACATTAGTAGCATAATCAACAGGTTCGCCCAACCAACCCCATTCCCAAATAAGCAGTTTACAGAATGTGGTCTTCTTTTTGCTTTTGCTTACCTGTGAGAACCCATAAAAGAATGACGCCAATCATTTTGCCAGAGGGTCAGGCGATTTTGTATCAGAACTGTTCCAATCTCAGTCTCTCTAAAATCCAAAATCCTTCTCTCTTCTTCTTCCTCTTTTTTCTTCTTCTTCAAAAAAGATGAAAGGTCCCCTAATGGGATTCAAAGTTTGACATTTGTTTCCTCTTGGCCATTATAAACTTTGTGTGCACCATCAAATGCCACCTCTAAAAATGAGAGAAGGAGGTGACTCGTGTGAAATGTGATCACTCGATGTGATACTTCTGATCAACAAAGGATGTGGTCTAGAAACTCAGAGGTCCGGGGCCTTCTACACAAAATGACTGGGCTGGGCAGTTAGCAACAGAATCGAAAGTGTTACGTAAGTTCAGAGAGCTGTGACATTCATAACTAGAAAGTGATGGGGAACAGAGCAGTTTTGCTAAATTATAGTTGGTAAGGAAGTAAAAGCATTAATGTTTCCATGCTTCCCCCTTTAAAAAAACATTTTGTAAGGTCTAAAACCATCCTGGCACATTGTACGCATTTAGTGAAATGAGTGTGATGCACTTGCAAAAGAAGATTCCTATATGATGGTATAGCTATCCTCAGTATCATCTTAGAACCATGGATTTGTGGAGCTGGAAAGGACCCCCAAGGGCATTGAATCCAGACCCCTGCCAGTGTTGGGCATCCACCTGATAGGTAGCCATCCGGCCTCTGCTTAAAATTCTCCATTGAAGGAAAGTCTCTGGAACCATTTGAGGGAGGAGATTGCATTGTTTAAATGGCTTTCACTGTTGGGACGTTCTTCCTAATGTTTGGTCAAAGTCTCCTTTCTTGTAACATGAACCCATTACTGCTGATCCTACCCTCTGGAGCTGCCAAAAATGAGCTTGCTCCACCTTTCATAGAACAGCCCTTCAAATATTTGAAGATGTTTATTATATCTCTTCACCTTCTCTCCTCTAAGCCAAAAATGCCATGTTCCCCTCGACTTTTCCTCACAAGTCTTTGTTTCCAACCCTCTGGACACATCCCAGTTTCCTGACATTCTTCTTCAACTGTAGTGATCAGAACTAGACACAATACTCTAGGCGAGGCCTGACCAAAACAAAATGAATGTGGGACTAGTGATATCCCATTGCAGGAAGAATATGATGATCGGAGCTTTGCTAGTGTCAGCTGTAAACTGCATAAATGCAAACAACTTGAGGAGATGAAGGTGTTTCTAGCCAGAAGAAAAGAAGGTCAAGGAAGATCTCTTCTGGATGTAGTCACATTTCCCCTAAAAACTCAGATTTGCAAGCTGGGTACTCTCTTGAGCCTTGGTGCCAGGATTTGATTGTGATCAAGAATGCTATGGCACAGTTAAGATTAGTGTGTCTGCGGCAACCACAGGGTGCGATCAGATGGAGATCTAAAAACCACGTCCGATCACTCCAGAAAGGACTGCTTCATTGGATATTATCTCTAAAGTGGCTCTTTACACTTCTATTCACATAACAATCCGGTCCCAAATGCTCCAGTCCAGCTCTACAAAAGAAGAACCCATCTGCTGGACCAAAAAAAGGTCTGAACTGGGCACGGAACTGGGTTGGTCTGGGTGGCAATTTCCTGAATGTCATCTGGTTGCCATCCAATGGACTGAACAAGACCGTGTTATAGGCACTCCAAAAAGTGAGCTAAATAAATATCTGATCACACCATTAATTACTTTCCCATCTGGATTATTGTAACACAGTTCATGCATATTGTGCTTGTGATACCCAGGCTTTTCAAAGGCTTTCAGTAAACATAGTGTAACATCCTAAAACAACAAGAAACACCTTTTTAATTAAGGGGTGGTTATATCCCTCCTCACACATACATATGCACATGTGTATCCAATGCTCCCTGGCAGATAAAAAGGTAATGACTTATACGGAATAAAATCCAAAAAGTTGACTTTACCAAGTATTGGTGGGTGGGAGTCCCTTTTCAAGGAGGTCACTGGAAGCTGATCGGTGTTTTGTAACATGTACATTTATTCACAAATATACAGGCTGAACACAGATGGAGGCATAGAGTAAATATTCCCTTAGGAAGGCAAACTTGAAAACTCTATTAGGGTTGCTAGGAGTTGGGTTCTGACTTGATGGCACATAGCTAACTACAAGCCCATCGTCCTCAACCACTGTGATCAATGCCAGGGATAATGGGAGATATACTGCAGTTGAGGAAGACTACAGTGGTGCCCTGCATAGCGAGCGCCCCGTTTAACGACGAATCCGCATAGCGATGTGGATTTTGTGATCGCAAAAGCGATCGCATTGCGATGGTTTTAATGCGTAAAAATCGCATTGCAATGATCGGTAAGCATTTCGCTTACCGATTTTCATATTGCGTTGTTTTGAAAATAGCTGATCGGTGGTTCCAAAATGGCCGCCGGGAAAAAATGGCCACCCACAGCGTTTTCACGCCCTTTCCTCGCTTACCGGCCAGCGAAAATGGCGGCCAGATGGAGGACTTCCGTATAGCGGTGAGTTTTTCCCCATAGGAACGCATTAAACAGGGTTTAATGCGTTCCTATGGGGGTTTTCGTTCCATATAGAGACGATTCCGGATAGCAACGGTTTTCCTGGACCAGATTATCGTCGCTATGCGGGGCACCACTGTAATCGGGACAAGTACTATTCTAAACCATTAGACCTCCCCATAGCTGTAGCCCTGCTCATAGAAATCTGAAAGCAACCCTGTAACAATGAATTAAATTCTTTGATTACATAAACCATTTTAAAAAACTGCAGTCCTGTTATGAAGGGTTATCTTTCCACATTTATAGTCTGTGAAATGTATTTATCTAAAATAATTTTATCCCACCTTTCTCCTTAAAAAGAACTCAAGGGTCAGATACCACCTCCTGGAAATACAATCTTAATATATATGAATACACTATTATCACAAAAATGTCTAGGAACTGGTCAGTATTATATCCATTATAAAGGATGAAGGGCTGAGAGAATTATTGTTTGTCAAGCCAAGCCAAATTATTTTAACTATTGCCCAATCGAAGGGCTGGCTGTGGAATATGTAGAATGGCCGGCCCTGCCCCCATCTTGTTTACACATGAGTCCTCATGCAAAGGAAGGCATTAGGGGCAGAGGGTAAGCCAGCATCCAATTCCCACATGCAGGAAAGGGAAAATCTTCTCCCCATTGAAAGTAGCTGAGGGGAATGTAAAGATGTGTGTTTTGTGGTTGACATCATAAAAGGCCACTTGATCCATTTCATAATCCAGGTAAATCCCAATTTTTCTGGGTCTTTTCCGTAAGATCAATGGAGTCTGAGGGACAGTAAGAGCTTGGTATTGGACGATTTGGATCCGACATTTCTCCACAGCCCAGATGCCTTCTTCGGGGTCCAAGCTGAGTCTTCCCTTTCTCCTCACAGAAGATCTTGCCACCCCGACAGCCCAGTAGCCCTCCTCTCCCACCTCCACTTCCCAGTAATGCCTCCCAGAGGCAAAGCCTTCCCTTCCCAACACGCAGCGCTCTACGTCAAATCTTTCCATGTTGTCAGGCTGGCTGTGCCACATGAAGCCTTGGATGACATTCCTACAGTCTGAAGAGATGATCAAGTCGTGGTTGGCTGTGTCTGGATCCAGAGTGACATTGGCTGTTGAGAGGAAAGAGGAAGAGATAAGTCAGAGGCAATAAGGAAATGGGAAGAGGGAAGGATTGAGTGCAGAGTACTGCATGTTCTTGGTAAGAAGAAGAAAACAGAGAATTGCCCCCTCTACCAAAGGAGAAGTGAAGAACACAAGCCTCTTCCATCAAGCCTACTTTTCAGAAAGGGAATGAGGATGACACTGTGGTCCCCCCAGTACAGCTTGTGGAACAATGTTTTCTCCTTCCTTCCTCTTTTGGGCTGAACCACAGAAGCAGAGAGAAGGACGATGTCTAGGGATCCATTCTGAAGGAGTGTCCTCCCTACCCCAATTGTATCTATTTAAAATTTATTTATTTATTTAAATTCGCCTTCACGAATGCATTTATTTATTTAATTCACTTTTTATACTGCCTAGGTCGTTGCAATAAAAGCATCCACAACATAAACTAAGATTCAATAATAAGCAACAATTGAGACATCAAACAAAAGAGCAGACATACTTTATGATTTATGTAATATTTTGTATTATTTTACTGCTTTGTGTGATGTTGGAAGCCACCTAGAGTGGTCTTGTAGACCAGATGGGCGGGGTATAAATCAAATAAATAAATAAATAAATAAATAAATAAATCTCAACTAAAATTAATTCTATAATAGGATACGCAATGTCAACAGACCAATAATCGACAATAAAATCATCAAAAATAAGAAGGACTAAACCAAAAAACTTAATTAAATTAAACAGGGGCAGGAGTATGAAAAGGCTGAATAAAGAGCCAGGTCTCTGCTTTTTTCTTGAAGTGAAGGTGGGTTGGGGCCTGATGTACTTCCACAGGCAGAGGGTTCCATAGGATGGCAAGCACAACTGAAAAGGCCTAGTTCCTAGTCATGGATTTTGGGTGCTCCCTTGGAGTGGCCACCTGTAGCATCATCGCTTGGGAAATACGGGTGGGACGGGAAGCCAGTTTGAGGGAAAGATGCTCCGACAAGTAAAGAGGTCCTACTGCAACCCAAATGAATGCAGTAGGACTTGTTTACCACATTTGGAAGAAAATGGAGGGATACACATTGACCTTCTAAAGCACAAATGGAGATAATTGGCTTTCTCAGTGTGGTTGTTCTCACATAATTCCTCACCATTGGCTACTCTGTCCCCCCCAATCTAAGTTCCCATGCATAGTAACTCTGACCTCTAAGGCTCAAACTCACTGAGGTTCTGAGCTTGTAAACAGACCATGATAGCCCTGTGGTTCACAGTAATCTGAACACATGAGAAGTTAAGGTGGAAATTTCATTCACCTGGCCATGTAATTGTAAAATATAAGCCTATGGTGAAAAATGAGAAGTTAAGGTGGAAATTTCATTCACTTGGCCGTGTAATTGTGAAATATAAGCCTATGGTGAAAAATGACAGACGGACGGACGGACGGACGGACGGACGGACAGACAGACAGACAGATAGATAGATAGATAGATAGATAGATAGCTAGATAGATAGATAGATAGATAGATAGATATACCTTTTTCTATTGGCACCAGCATCTTCCTCCAATCTAGAAGCAACCATATAATTTTTTAAAAATTGTATCATTCATATTTAAATACAAAAGACACATATAATACATTCCACTTTACTTCAAGTTGGTTGCAGTATTTCTTGTTATGAAGCAAAGTCACCACAAGATGTTTTTCTACATCATTTGAACACCACCTCCTATAAGGGACCGATTTTATGATAATGGAGACAAACAATCTTAGTTTGTTTACTCTGCTTTGTGAGTGTTTTATCTGAGGCTACACTGAGGGGGAAAGTAATATAGCTTTAATTAAACGTTTCTGTCGAAAACGGGCACACGTTCTTGCTCTATATTGATGCTAATGGGTATCCTAATGAAGTGGCTTCAAGAGCCTCTTTTATTTTGAAGTTTAAGTTTGAAGAATTTACAGTCCCTAAGATGAATAATAATAATTAAAAAGTATGCCTGGAGAAAGCACTCTTCTGTAATTTAAACTTTTCCAAATTTCCAGAAACTCAAACAATACTTTGCCACAACGTATTATATTTTTTTTCCTCCACCATTTGGAAATGGTTCAGTTTTTGGTCAAAAATTGGCAATTTTTCTGTGCAAAATATTTCTTTTTCCCATAACCTTAAAAAAATAGTATGAAAGGCTTTCAATATCATTTAAACTGCACATTCACTCATTTATTTGAACCTATTTATAGAGTGGGACTGTAGCTCAGTGATTGATCACACACCAGCCTCAGTTGGCCTGGGCAATACTCCTCTCTAAAACCACTAGGGATCACTGCCAGTCAGAGTAAACAAAACTGAAGCTAGGTGGGCCACTGGTAAAAAAAAGTGCACAACCTTCTGTATTTACAAGGTGAAAGTCAATTCATTCAGCCATCCTGGATTTTGCTTATGCTTGTTATGTATGTGCTGCCAAGCTGCCTCCGACTTACGGCGACCCTATGAAAGAGTGATCTCCTGTCCACAACAGCTCTGCCTAGGTCTTGAAAAGTGAAGTTGTTAGTTTCCTTTAAGGAGTCAATCTATCTCATATTTGGTCTTCCTCTTTTTCTGCTGACTTCATCTTTTTCCAGCATTACTGTCTTTTCCAGAGAATCCTGCTTCTCATGATGTGTCCAAAGTAGGACAGCCTCAATTTCAAGATTTTCCTTTCCAGCAATTTTGCTACTCTTAAAATACTATGTTACAATTATACAAAAAAACACACAACAACCTGAAATTAGGCCCACAGGATTCCTTTTGCAAGGGAAGATGGACAATTAGACAGAGCTGAGAAATAATCCTATGCACAATGACAAGAGGCTAAGTCTCAGATCAGTGAGATGTACTTCTGGGTAAATAAAGAATTGTGCTGAAGGGCCAATCCTATTGACGTTAATAGGTTTGGGCTCTCTGGCTCTGAATTGGATTGTGGTCTAAATGTTTTTCTATTTTGAAAAGAGACAGAATTACTTACTCAGTTCAGTGATAAGCATTCCTAGAACAGAAAGGGGGGAAATAGTGATTGTCATGGTAATTATACAATATTGCCATCAATTCTTTGTGTGTAATGACCATGGATTTTCAGCACGTTTTACAGGTAACTTATAAAGGTGAGTAAGAGCAAGTCTGCAACCAGTATGAGTACAGCACAGCATCACCAGCATCATCATTAGAACCAGCACCATAATTTGATATCAATGCATATACTGTAACTGCAATAACTACCGTGGCATCTCTCTTCTCAGCGTTGTAGGGAAGCTGCTTGCCCATGTTGTGCTGAAGAGGCTCCAGGTGCTTGCAGACAGAGTGTATCCAGAATCACAGTGTGGATTTCGAGCTAATAGATCCACCACAGACATGATATTCTCCCTGAGTTGCAGGAGAAATGCAGGTAACGAGAGCCACTCTTTGTGGCCTTCATAGATCTCAGAAAGGCCTTAGTTAGCAGGGATGGCCTTTTCAAAATACTTCCCAAGATTGGATGTCCACCTGCGCTCCTTAACATCATCAGGTCCTTTCATGAGCAAATGAAGGGCACTGTAGTTTTTGATGGCTCAACATCTTTGATATCTGAAGCAGAGTGAAACAGGGCTGTGTCCTCGCACCGACTCTGTTTGGGATCTTTTTTGCTCTCATGCTGAAGCACGCCTTTGGAACTGCAACAGAAGGTGTCTATCTCCAGACTAGATCAGATGGAAAGCTCTTTAATCTCTCTAGATTGAGAGCGAAGACCAAAGTCCAGCTGAAATGCATGCGGGACATCCTCTTTGCCAATGATGCAACTGTTGTTGCCCACTCTGCTGAAGACCTCCAACAACTCAGGAATCGTTTTAGCAAGGCCTGCCAAGACTTTGGACTAACAATCAGCCTGAAGAAAACACAAGTCATGGGCCAGGGTGTGGACTCTCCTCCCTCTATTACCATCTCCATGCAAGAATTGGAGATTGTTCATGACTTTGGGTACCTTGGTTCAACAATCTCTGACACTCTCTCCCTAGATGTTGGGCTGGATAAATTCATTGGCAAAGCTGCTACCATGTTCTCTAGACTCACAAAGAGAGTATGGCTTAATAAGAAGCTGATGGCATATATCAAGATCTAGGTGTATAGAGCCTGTGTCCTGTGCACACTCCTGTACTGCAGTGAGTCCTGGACAATTTGTGCACGGCAGGAGAGGAAGCTGAACACGTTCCATATGCGTTGTCTCCAACACATTTTTGGTATCACCTGGCAGGACAAAGTTCCAAATTGAGTAGTCCTAGAACAAGCTGGAATTTTTTAGCATGTACACATTACTGAAACAGCAACGTCTATGCTGGCTTGGGCATGTCATGAGAATGGTTGATGGTTGGATTCCAAAAGATCTCCTGTATGGAGAATTAGTGCAGGGAAATTGCCCCAGAGGGAGACCACAGCTGTGATACAAGGATATCTGCAAGTGGGATCTGAAGGTCTTAGAAATGGACCTCTACAGATGGGAAACCTTGACATGTAAGCGTTCAGCCTGGAGGCAGGCGGTGCAGCATGGCCTCTCCCAATTTGAAGAGACCCTTGTCCAGCAGGCCGAGGCAAGAGGCAGTCCTGAAAGCAGCCAAATCAGGGAGCTGGACAGGGGACAGATCAGGGAGCTGGACAGGGGACAGATTTATTTGTCCTCAGTGTGGAAGGAATGCCACTCTCAAATTGGCCTTCTCAGCCACACTAGGTGCTGTTCAGAGCACGTTACCGTAGTCTCTTGAGACTGAAGGATGCCTAATCTAAAGTTGTTTCGGACTGTTGCTTTTTTGCCAATTGTTCATATAGTGTCAGCTGCATATCTCAAATTCTTAATATGTCTTCCACCAAATTCCACACTCTTCCTTCATTTGAATCTAATTCATCTTTCTTTAATAGTATAAGACAGTGTTTAATCGTCACTATTCAAGGCCCAGTTGAACTGAAATTATGTTAGCTGAAGTGGTGCTGGATCAAAAAATGTTGGAAATTTTTTAGGATTAACCTTGCAGTTGCCTAACTTGGTGCTGGGTTGTGTTCCAATGTAACTCACGAGAAAGACATTGCTGCCAGCAGGAGAGGTGCATGCCTTGCTCCAGCCAATCCATAGTTAACACATTAAGCTCTTAATGTTTAAAAAACCTTAAAGCCCCAGCAGTGCAATACGTTCAGTGCCTCCTAGTGACAAAACCACACCATTTTTAAAGTGATACTTATGTTAGGTCTTAACAGCAGAAACCGAATTCTGACTCCATAATAATAATTGTGTGCAATCAAATCAATCCTGACTTATGGTGACTTTTTTCAGAGTTTTCTAGGTACAGAGTATTCAAAAGTGGTTTTACCATTGCATTCTTGTGGGGGCATCTTGGGACTGTGAAGCTTGCCCAAGGTGACACAGGCTGGCTTTTCTGCTGGGATGCACTGTGACGAATTGGAATCCCAACCTCGGCATTGTGAGAACTCCCAACCTCTGTCTCCACAGCTAGAAACCTAACTCCACAAAGACTTCTGATATTCAGCCTTTTTGAGCACTGCCCAATTTATCAGTGTTCATCTCTATATACACATGTAGAGGTGGATGGCTGAGGTTGTAAACAGTGCAAAATGCAGACTCCTTGCAATTCATTTCACTGTTTAAAATCTCTTCCCTCTAGCATGTATCAGCCAGCCAGCCAGCCAGCCAGCCAGGCAAGCAAGCAAGCAAGCAAGCAAGCAAGCAAGCA